ACATATTAGCGTGTATGAGTTTTTGTTTTATTTACGATAATTAGTGATACTTGAAAAACTCTTTGTAAATGAAGTCTTACAATGAAGTATTTTTGCTTTAAGTCAATTTGGAGGGAGGATAATTTCGCTCATAAACACAATTTCTTTTCATTATAATATCTTTGCATGCAGATTTTTATTTACAGAGAATCATGATAATTACATAATAATTAAGAAAAATATTAAGTGGTTATTAACTTCTATTACAGAATCTTTGACCTTGCAAGTTTCAAATGAATAAAGAATTACATACAACAGAAATACAAAGTTAAAGATCCCATAAAAGCCGCAAAAAGAAAAAAACTTAACTGAGATTTAAATGAATACTTTAACTTAAATAAAAGAATTAAAAAAATGTATAAAATAATAACTTGCTAAATGAGCAAAGCGAAAAAGGTTAAATATGTGCTTAGTTGACATATTCACACTACAGTCATTATAGCTAAACTTAAAAGTGCTTATTACTGTCACAGTCTATCTGCTTGAACTATTTCAGGTTAAATTAATGACTAGTCTCATTTACAAAGATAAGAGAGAGCGACCGTCATTCTTAGCAACATGAACTTACAATAAAACTCTGCAAGAATGCATTCTTACCCGCCGACTTCTGATATTCTAGGCAGATTTGTCCAAAGCGAAAACGAAACGCTTTTCCCTCATTATAACTTGAGAAACTCAGCCTATTTATTTAGGGGTAAAACGTAAAAGCTAAATGATCTTGTTCTCAAGTTTCGTCCCTTGTCGCCAGTTTTACTGACCCTTGCACTATTGCCTGTTTGGCTTTTAAGAGTTTAGAACAGAAGGGGAGCACGGGAGAACGTGCTGTCCCTAGTCGAAGGGTCATTAAAAGTCAAAGTTCGGCAGCAGAAATTTTGCATACTGAAAATTAAGCAGAATCAATTAGTTGATTCTGGAGAATTTCAGGATGAGTTTGGGAAAACTCTAGAATGGGGAACTGTTTTAAATTTATGCGATGAGACAAAGTGTCCTAAATATTTTCACTGTTGCTATATTTATGATGTTTATGCTCGGAGTGAAATATATTAGGACATGGAATATTTGGGTAGCATTTAATATTTATGTTTAAGGACATGCATGTTATGACTTGTAGATGTTATTAGGCTTTACATTTAATGTATATTTTGTTGTCAGCCGCATAAAAACGCAAAACTCCTCTCAGTATAACTTAATATTTATTCAACTAATGTTTTTGTTCTGCTTGTTCATCAATTATAACTGTTAACTATGTGATGAAAAACAATAACTTTAGAATATATTAATTTTTCTTGAACAAGAGGGAAATATTAAGATATATGAGGTTTTAAATAGTTCAGTAGAGGGAAATTAATTTACAAAATTTTAAAAGAAAATTTTTTTTATTAGTTATATTTATATAGCAATTAGTTATGTAATAAAAATACTCACATTAACAATGTGCGAGATTGCAAACCAGTTGGCCTCTTTCTGCTTAATTTTGAGTTTGATGCGTGATATGAATCTCAAGCAGACCATATTCAGTCTTTTAATTAAAAAAAAGTAATTAAAAATTATATTTTGAGACATATACATATAATAAACTCATGTGAAAAAAAATATACTCACATTTACAAACGAAAATATCCATCTACCCAAGAAGTAACACATAAGCAGAAATGAAGGTAATTTGTTAAAATGTAACCTTATTAATTGCGGATGGCTTTCCACGTATCTGAAACTAATTATTTGATTGCCAGAAAAGTCAATTATTTTGATACAATTAGTTTTTAACATTATAATTTGGAACGTAAAGTAGTACATTCAATGTATTTGCGAAGATCAAACTTAAGTACTTTTTTCCGTTTCTAGTATAATGGAAGATTATTTAAAAAAAAGAAGAGTTTTTAAGAGCAGGCTAAGCGTCATAACTAGGTAGTGCAATTTCCTCTAGCAAAGTTAGAGAAAAACGACAAGCAGCTTCAAAATTGGCCAAAAAATAGAGAAGTCGGAATAAGTTACCACACTTGGCGAAGTTTTTCTCAAAATTTGCTTTAGTGATCCATGCAAAAATCAAAACTTTATCAAGGTACTTTTCGCTTCCTTTTTTCCCACACCAAAAGACACAAAATAAATCTTTTTTACTTAACTTTGGAAAGTTTGTCACCCATTTTTCAAGTAAATATTCAATGGTGAGCAAAGTATTTCATTTTAATAAAATTAGTTTTCGAGATCAGATTACATTTAATCTATTTGCGAAAATAATTTTTTTTTGTTTTTTCCCGTTTCTATTATGAGTTTTATTAAAAATAAGGAAAAAAAGTTTCTTCAGAGAGGACGTAGCGTCGTAGTCAGATAGTGTAGTTTCCTCTAACATAGTTAGAGAAACACGACAAGTAACTTCAAAACTGCAAACTAAATAAAGAAGTCAGTATCGGTTATCACACTTGAAGGGGTTATTCTCAAAATTTGCTTCAGTAATTCATGTTACTACTTCTCGTTTCACTATTTTATATGCAAAATTACACGACAAACCTACCTATGTAGCGTAAATTATTCATTTAAGGTATTCGATTATTTAAATATAAAATCACAATTTAATTTTTAATCCGTTTGAAAATTTTCAATTAGAATTAGAATGAAGAAAAAAACAAGCAATGATTTTTCAAAAAAATTAATTTTAATTTGGTACATAAAAACACGGGAATAGTTTAATATTCAAATATACATATCATACATTTTAGAAGATAATACTTTCACAAATTTGTTTAATTAAAGTCAAAATTATTTAACAGAAGTTCAATATTTAATTGATTATTATATTATTTAATTTATTTTTGCGTGTAAGGGATACAATGCATAGTTAAAATTATTTTATTTAAAATTACGATTAATACATTATTAATTATAAGATTTTATGAAAAAAAAACCTTATCCGTTGTTCCATGATTATTTTTTTCAATTTCTTTTCGGAACATTTTGCTCTTAGCCAATTTCAGATGGTTACCTGCATATTCTAACGTCATAAAGTACAAAGGTTCCTGTAGTACAAAGGTTCCTGTCGTATCTTATGTAATATAGTTATAAACAGCTAACTATTATATTTTATGTTGGTCTTTCGAACAAAATCAAAAATACGAGAAAATCCGATCTTCATGTGATAGAATATAAGTTATTTTTTCATAAAAAAATAAGTAAAAATTTTTTCAAATAACGTCAAACTTTTCGAGCAAAAATAAATCCTTGTTTTAAAATATTGACGCTTTGTTACAAATTCTATGTTAAGATGTAAAAAATAGAGTAGACGCGTCTGGTTTCTCCAACCTACATAAAATGAAATGTGACACTGATTCTTTGAAAGCCAAAAAAATGAGTACTCTCTGTAATAAAGCACGAAAAAGTGACTTATCATTCATTTAATATTAACTTATCTGTCATACATTAAACGAAACCGTCAAAATAAAGTTATGAAAGGACACAAATATGTGATTTATAAAATAATCATAAAATAATATTTTGGGATTATGTTTTGACATCAACATTAAAGTAATAGTTTATTACGCTCTCATTAGTAACAATTAAATAAATATTCATGACAGTGACTATATGTGGTAGAGAACCTATTTATATTTTAAACGTATAATAATGTTTCGGTGTTAAAGAGTAAAAGGCCAGTATTAATGTCTTAAAAACCCGTAAAAATGTTTCAAAACCACAGAATTGCATTATTGAGAAAAGAAGTTTTAAAACATGATTGTATTATTGAGAAAAGAGGTTTTAAAACATGCTGATAGTCTTCATTAATAGAAAAAATTATAACTTTGATTCCTTGAGGTTACAAACTAATCGAATAACATGCAAATAACGAATATTAAAACTTTTTTCAGAATACTTTTGAAAATCCTCTGTATTTTATTTCTCTTTAGTAACTTTAAGGCATCGTAGGAATCTATTACGTTAAATCAGTACTTAACAAATTGAATGATTTTCAAATATATTGGAAGCTCATGAAGTTTTGACTCAATTGAAAACAGTGTAAACTGTCAGCTATATTTAATGCAAGGTAAAAATATTCAATGCTTGTATTGCATCAATTTTAAGTTTAAATATGGAACATTACTTATTACTGCATTTTAAGGACTCTCTTTTATATTTGTGATTATCCAATTCTTACAATAAAAACTCCGACAACTTTCCAACTAGCTGAAGGATACAAATCTCTACGACGTTCTTTGTTTGATAACAAAGCAAGTTTTAACCATTTTCTGCCATTAAAGGTCAAAATTTAACTTGCTTTAAACACTTACACAATTTATATGCGATTTAAATTCTAACCATTTTTTTGACTCAATATAGCACTTACACTTAAACTGAAGCTCTTTGCTAGATGTCAATACAAGATCTGACATTTTCCTCACTGCTAAAACGGGATGTATGAAATTTTTATCATCAAATGGATCCTCGACAATTAAAATCTCGGCCAATTAGGTACTTGCAATTAGTCATAGTGTCTAATAACGTGGATGCTTATGCATGTGAGCGTTATAGCTTCAAGGATTTTTTTTTATCAGGCTGAATCAATTTTCGGATCCGTTTTAATCAAATTAATACCTGCACACAACGTCACACATGCGTGTTGCACCTGATTGGCTGTGTTACATCTCTTTCAAACATTCAATTGTTTGTGACTCAACTGGAGATTTGCTTTGAATTACAGTCTAAGTTTAAAATATTGCTAATAAAAATTTTCACCATCCTCTGATATAAAGCACAAGCAAAAAACTGAATAAGAAGAAAACAAAAAGTTCAATAATCACGTTCTTCAAGTAGATTTAGGAGAAAATTACCTTATTTCTCTTCCTTCTGAAGGTGAAAACGAAATCATTTCCCTTTTGAAATAACTCCCCTCTCCGTCTTTCGAAAGTGATGCTCCCAACACTTCAAAAAGTCTTAGAATAAAATTTAGTTCGTCTAAAAAACATAGTTTATTATTTTTTTTATTTTATTTTAATAATTTATGCATTATTTTCATAAAAAAAATAAACAAGAAATACAATTAAAACTACACATTTTGCTTAGCATAATAATAGAAACATTACACAAACAAGATCTTTGAAAACAAGAATTTTAACATTTAACTTAATACCGTATTCCCTTACATGACACATTTCTCAATAAACCCAGTCTCTGTAAATACTCTAGTATTTATATATTTCCATTAACTTAACATAATGTATTTCCATTAACTTAATATGATTTCCAGTTTCAATTCTGAAAATTTTATAAATTATTATTCAAAACAATACGGAAAGAAATATAGCCTCAAAATTTAATTTGCTCTGTATTATAGAAAATATATGCAACAACTTTCTTAAGAGAGATGACTGACTGCCCACGAGATTGTCTCTGTCCTGGAGGGCCCCCTGGTGGTCTAGTGCAGAACTGTGAGAAAGGAAGAATCAATACACCCCTGCCGCAAGTAGCTACGGATAGGTCTGTAACATAGCGGGAAAGCAAAGCATTCTGAACACACCGCGATTTCCGCGTTTCGGAATCTATTACGTTTCTGTGATTTAAGCGGGAAGCGCTCAAAGGCGCCTCCGTCAGAANAAAAAAAAAAAAAAAAAAAAAAAAAAAAAAAAAAAAAAAAAATTAATACACAATTTTATTTATTCCAAATTTTCATAATTTATTTTTGTGAAGATTTTCCCTTGTTGTGATTGGTGATTTTCGAAATGCTTGATAAATTTTCATTCCTGACTGACGCCATTATAAAACAGCTATACTCACGTAAAATAATTTACATTTTCTGCGTTAAGGTTCCTTACTTTTGGTGGATAAGTTTCCAATGATATTGATTAAAGTATAAGATATTTTGAAAATTTGTTCGAGGATATTTAAAGTTCAAGATAGTAAAATGTGTTTTTCATTTTAAGGATTTTTTTTTAAATAAAGGATTAAATAAATTGCCAAGTATTCAACTGTGGAATTAAAGTTTGGAATTTTTTTATAACGTTGTGAATTGTGATGGAAAAGAAAAATATAGTGTGTTTGTGTTATTTATTATGTAATTTTTGGATTTTCGTGGGCTTAACTGCAAGGGCTCCGGCTCCAGCCACAAACGAACAACCATGGGGTATGTATGACAGAAATATATTTATGAAATATATAATTATATTTTAACATACCGTTATATCGATTTCCATAATTTGGTTTTATGAAACAGCTTTTAATTCACTTCATTTTATTTAAATACTTTTAATATCATAAAAATTAAACAAGTAATTTAAAAAATAAACTAAATAAGTATACATTAATCTAATTTTATATGTGCATTTATATAATTAAACTTTCATTCATAAACTATATATTCATGCAGTATCCAAATAATTTAAATTCTCTTCCTCATTAAAAACATAATAAAATAAACACAATAATAAATTTTCGAACATATTTTTTATCTGTTAGACGTACTGAGTGTTAAATTAGCGAAAAACAATTTTTAGATTAAGTAAAGGTAAATTAATTGGCATTCTTTCGAATATAAAACGTGTCGTAAGAATTACACAGGCATAAATAATACGCATGCAATTATTCTCATGTAGTTAATTAAATAATTCTTTGTAATTTTTCATAATTAACATAAACTTTATTAAGTTGTTACTTAACAACTTGTTAAGTTTAGAAACTTGTTAAGTTTTTACCGAGCATACATTGATATATGCAACAATGGATATTGATAGATAACTATAATTCAGTGCCTGTTAAAGAGAAATAAAGTAACTAAATATATTTTTACCCAATTGAATCTTTAATTATTGAACACATTAATTGTAACTGCGCCTTTCACTTGAATAAATAGAACGGAAATATAGATATTTTATGAGGTGAATTTTTATCTATTGCGCTTGCATAATTATTTATTTTAATAATGCATAATAATTTATTTTAATAATGTGATTTATCATTGTAAGACGTAAAATGTATTGTCCTTCCGTTTATTTACACGTATTTATTAACTCCGTCTTGTCCTGATAGATAAATTAATGCACCGTATTTTTCCTGCAATTATAAGAACTGATTTATAAAACGTTGTATTGATCATTTACCTTATCACTTATAATTACGCAAATAATTATACGTATTTCTAAGGTATTGATAAGTACAAAACAGGATTTCGGGCAAAGTTTTTGAAATTGAGTTTATTTGAAATTTAAAATTCCTGTACTCTTAGCTTTCGAGAAAAAAATCTTTACTTTATTTGCAAAGTTATTGCTTTTTTTGTGCAAGGTGATAACATCAGTGGATAGGCTAATGATTTTAAGTCCTTAAATGCGTTTGTATCAAAATCAGATTATTTTTCTTATTTTGCACCACCTTAAACCCGATATCCCATATTGTTTTTAACATAATTATCTTTAATTTTTCATGTGTGTTTATGATTATAGAATGCACATTTTGAACTACAGACTAAGAAAAAAAAAGAATTTCATTTTTTTGCTTGTTTTTTTTCACTATGACAAATGTGGACATTTTAAAAACTTGCTTTTTAATTACATTGATCTCTAACTCAATAGTGCAAGATAACCGCGATGATTACTTCGCATCGAGTATTAGATTCATACTTGCTTTTAAGATAATAATTCAAATCATAGTCGATAGTCTTATAAGTAAATCTTTAATTATAAATTCTCAAATTATTTTATATTTTAGGCTATAAAAATTTTTTCACAATGTTTAGCATATATGTAAAAAATGTTTCATTTTTACCTAAAACTGGTCACTTAAAATTATTTTTTAATAATAATAATAATATTTTTTTGCCTAGTTTTCTGAATTTTTACACATGATTTAAAAAAATTTCTTATTAATATTTATAGAAAAATGTTGTCGAAAAACTAATCGGACACATTACAGCAATTATTAGTTAACTCTAACATTTATGATTATAAAAGTATAAAACACATCAGATAAAAAATTATATTATTAGAATAAAAAAAAATTTTAATTTTCGATTAATGCTATCTGAATTTTCTTACAAGATTTCTTAAACATCCCAATTAGGCAGGAAACTTAAACTTCCTGTTCATCTTACGTCATCTGAGACTTCCTGTTTGCCTATAATCAGAGATTTTCTTTGTTTTGATTTTCTTCAGTACAAGTCATGAAAAATAAAAATGCAATATAAGGGAGATTAGACAGTTTACAATATGAGATTTTAGAATATTTGATCCAATTTTATAGAAACGTACATAAAATAAACGAATTCAAGCATGAAAGAATAAATAAAAAAATAAATATATATTTTAAGAGTCATAGAATGAAAGGAATAAATGAATGAAAAAAAGATGTTATATGTAGTATTAAATAATTACTTATTCATTAAATAATTTTTCAAAATAAAAGTTACTACTAAAATAGAATAAAAACATGTACAATTTATTGCAAATGTAATATGACAATTTTTTAACCTGAAATGATAAAAAAAAATTAATCAGTCAATGAAAAGAAAGGCACGTGCATGCTGCCATAGGAAATAAATAAAAATGAGCATAAATTTAAATAATTTTCCAAAGTAGTTTATAAATTTTGAACTAAAAAACTAAAATGTAATAAATTCTAAATCAGGGCTTCGTAAAAAAATATAGAATGAAACAAAATAACTAACATTCCAAAATACGAGTAAAATTAGAAAAAAAGTTTAAAACAAAATGAAAATACTAAATTATTTGTAACTCCTTTGGAAAGACTCACTTTGTTTCCTGGAATTTTAATAAATAAATTTTGTGTTAAAAGAAAACTAGGCTTTTCAAACTAGGCTCTTTTCAAACTAGGCTTTTGAATAAAAGTTCGTTTTTTATTCCTTTGAAAGGAAATTCAGTATTAAATGCTTATTTGAATAAATTTTGCATCTATAGAACTCGCCTTTTTAAATGGTGAAATGCAGCAACTAATTTTTCATAGAGATTTGAACTGATTGATTTAGCAAAATTTTTCCATTATTTTTCATAATTTTTAAAGCAATTATATTATCTTCAAATTTTTTTATACTGTTATATTACTTATTTAATAAAGTATTATGTTATATTTTTCTTACTATTTACGCAAGTAAGGTATACTTATATTGCATTTTTTATGTATTTATGTTTTAATTTAAGTTAAAACTTCTGACTAAGCAATGTCATTGTTTAGTCATAGTACATGAACCTTATATCAATAACTGAATGTCATGTTATGCATAGAGTATTTACTCGAACTATTAAAAATGAAATTAAAATTAATTTATTGAATAATTAAAACTATTAACTTTTAAAATTCAAATGAAATAAATTGTTTACAATTGCTGTGGTTTTTGATATTTATAATTAATTAATTATTATTTATAATAATTATCCAGTATATATAAGATATTTTATTTGCTTATCATTATTGTCATATTCAAATATACTTTTTCGGATTACTTCATTTCATTAATACTGCACTACACATTTTCTCCTTTAAAAACATCTCTTTTCGAAGATAAAATCTTTTATAAACATATTTATTTCCTTTGGTGTATTTTTCAAATGTACTTAGAAATATTTTAGATAAGGAAAATCGTTACATACAAAAATAAATAAATAAATAAGTTGAAATTTAATGTATACTTTAAAAAAAAATATAAAAATTAAGAGACTTAGAAAACTGTCACAAACGCTTACTGACAATTTAAGGATAAATTTAATCTACGTTATAACTCGATAAAGTAAAATTCATAGATTTAAAATACATTTTATATTTTAAAGCGAATATGTCCCTGATATAACTTTTTATATGATACTTTGTTCTCTGATGTATAAGATATATCCGGACATAAAATTTTTTAAATGAAAAAACGATATACTATTTCTATAGAAATTCCATCCATTTTAATATGAAGTTTCTCTCCAAAACATACATTTTATTTATTCATTTATTCCTCAAATAGCAAAAATGTATTTTTATATCTTTATAATACTCTAGAAAAACTTTCATAAACAGGATTCGTCTCAAACTTAATGGCTCTTTATTTCCAAAAAGGAGCGCCGGGGGATTTTGCTTCTTTAAAAAATCATTTTGTGGTCTACCTCAAATAGATACTGTCGCCAGGACCCCTGGAGCTTCTCCAGTATTGGCTTCATCCATTCGCCAAGACATAACTTTGGCTCGAAAATCCGAGTCAGTGTCGTTAATAGCGATTTTCCATTCGACGATGCAGTATTAATGCAATATCTATACATTGCTTTAGAATGTGCTTACGCTGGCAAGAAATCCTCATTTCGGGAGGGTCGCGATTGGCCGTATCGGAGAAATTGCATGGTAAATCCTTTATGATCCAGTTACCAATCAAGTGTAAGAACTTGGTATATGCAATATTGGACTGGAATAGACTTAAGAATTATGTAGCAGAGAAATGTTCTCTTAGAAATATTAACACAATAAAGATAATTTTGCACAGTGCTCCAAGAAGTAAGAAAATAAACATTGAAACATATAAAATTAGATAGTTATTGTTTTTAAAGAATAATAAGTGAAATTTACCATTTTACTTCTTAACCGCTTTCCTTACAAATTATTTTTTTTTAAAAAAGAAATTCGAAAAATCAACGCATTTTTTATTTCATTAACAAATATCAAAAACCAAAACAAAACACGACACACTAGTCTTAAGTTAATGCTTAAAAAACATTTAATTTACCATCAGTTTACTATCCCAATTTATATAGGGTAAATAAAAAAAGTCAAATTAATGTGATAGTTTTTAAAACAGGGAACATCACAAAGTGATAATTTCGATATGACAGTGAAGTGATACGTCATTTTTTTACCCTTTTTTTTCGATGCAAATTCAGCAACCATCGTACATGCAATCGCACGAAACACGTTGCAGTCCCACAATCAAACAGCAAAACTCCCAAACAAAACTTGATAAACTTCCAATTCACAGCAGATTACTATTATTTTATCTTTGTCTTCTGGTCGAGTAAAAAAGTGATAAAACAAAACGAGCTGACAAATTCTGCTAGACTCTAGTTTTCTCGGAATAATAAATACTTGCAATTTATACATACCAGAAATAAATCTGGATAATCGGGGAAACGGTAAAATAAAGATCAA